AGCCCGTCCGGCATCAGCACAGCCGAGTCTTCGACACGTTCGGATCAGCTCATGTTGAGAAGTCTTCTTCCGGCAGGTGAATGGCTACATGGCCCTGCCGGTGACAGGTGATTGGGCGGTTTGCCAGAATCCGGAGGTGGTGGCCCAACACAAGGCGTCGCAGTGCAGTTTGGACTTCATGAACGGCGTCATGTCCAGGGTGGAGAGTCGAAGCGGTAGCCTCTTCGATCACGGCGGGCATCGTGCTAAATCACTGGCTGTGACACCAGGTGAAAGTGTACGCCCCGGGTGCTCCGGGCGCTCCACCCATGTCCATGCCCCACCTGGACTACCGCACCATCGGTGGGAAGGATCTCCCCAGCGTCTTGCAACTTAGAGTCGTAGACTTTGGGGAAACTCTTTGCATCCGTGCTGCTTGAGAACATGCTCTTCAACCTCGCTCGTGACATTGCTGCCGCTAGGTTTCAGCTACAACTGCAATTACCATGGCATGGATTGAACATATGCTCGTGAGTGGCATGAGCATTCGGCGGTGTTGCAGGAGATGCTTCTGTTCGGACCCTTCGGTGCCTTGGCTGCGCCACCGCCTTCCAAGCCCCCAGCAGTTTCCAAGCGCTCTCAAAGCCTCAACACCGGAGGCTCGATGACAATGAAGTTCCTGCGATATGGCTCTGTGCTGGATGCTTTCAAAGCGCTGAAGCCTCACAACATTCTGCCAACCATCGGGGCATTGTCAAAGAATATGAGCCTTGCGGTGATGCTCATGCAGCTTGGCGCCTGCTGGGAAGGGCTTTTCCAGATTTACCTTTTAGAGCTATGTGTTTGAAACTTGTCACTTGCCGCTACGTACTGTTTGTACGACATACGAATGGTAGGATCAACCTCCGTCAGAATATGAAGAACTCGTGGAAACGCCATCTCATGAAACGCCACGCCCATGCTGCAGGACGGACGTGTTCAAGTCTGGAACAGGCAAGCTCCACGACATTCGACACTACTACCCGGAGGCCCCAGAAGAAACTTGCAAGGCTTGCGCGTAAGCCCCGAGTCCCGGGCGGTGTGGCAGGCCGATCCTGACGATTGGGTCTTCATCCCAGCGGGTGTCCGGGCTCAGATCATCAAGAAGGATCCGAAGACCGGCAAGGGCATGCTGCAGTTTGGCACGGAGGCAAGACTTCTCGCAGCGCACTTGTGTTCTGGCGCAGGTGCGTTTGACATTGTGTGTAACAATGCGTACCTGTGTTCCTGGCTGTTGATTAGTTGAGTCATGCCACAGACAAGCTCGCTGCTTCTATATGGCATTGTGGATGTGGTTAGTGAAGCGTCGCCGGAGTTGTAAACTTTTCCGGTATCCTGGCCTCGTCGTGACCATGGCGGTAAGGATTCTTGCGTGTGTCTTTGGTCTGTGTTTTTAGTTCATGCAGAACCTGTCCCTGCAGACATGATCACTAGAACTGCTTGGACGCTGAGTCTGGCATCGCAGGTCGTGTCCAACAAGGAGGGCACCATTGTTGGTCTGCTTGGCGCGTCTCCAGGCAGGCATAACACGAGCTGATAGCATGCTCTGGACAGGACGAGCCAAGGAAAGGACAAAGCTCATTAACGTGCAGAGCAGCCCAACTTCGCGTCTTTGCAACACAGCGAACTTGATCTAGAAGTTCAACAGTTTTGTTCGTATGTCTCGGAGGTGCTTCGACTTGCGTCTCCATCGCTTTGGATGTGATCCAGAAATGCTTCGGCCAGAGGCTAGGAGGCAAGAAGATGTAAGCTTCATCTTCGAGTGGCAAGCTGAGAGTCTCTCCCCCAAAAAGCTACGATTGAACCATCCTTTGATCACTGTGTGGGTTTATGCTTTCTATACGAGGTTCAGAGGCCTCATGCAGTAGGGTCTACCATGGCCTCTTCCACTCTAGGACCAGGGTCCCTGTAAGCCGGATCACCGGTCTGGCTCTGCAATTCGTTGTGGCAGAAAGAGACGCAGAGGGTGTGTTGTGACAAAGGGGTTAAGGAAGGAAGGGGTCGGGTCTCATCCAAGAAGCCCCTAACTCGGCTCCGTCCCCCCGGATGTCTGAGGAAGCCCGAGTTCCAGAAGTGGGTGCCGAAGCTGAAGGCTGCGCGCCGCTGGCGAAGTAGTCGATCGTGCAGCTGCACTGCAGCAGTGGCAATAGCGAAGATATAGTGACAAAAGCGACAATAGCCTCAATATTAGCCTCTCGCAGGCCGGGTCTTTTAACTAGAGTTTCTTGCCTCGGGGACTTCTGCAAGATCTCAGCTTGTTAATGGAACATGTATCAAATCGTGATTGAGACTGTGTGGCTTCGCAGCTGGTCATTACACACCCGACCCGAGCATCAATGCAACGACCAACGCAGGCCATGATTCCCAGCTTCTCTGCCGATGTGGCAGCTGGGGACATGAAGAAGGTCACACTGGATGCATCTTGCCTAAGACATGACAAAGGAGGCATCCAGCTTGGTCTAAGCAACCCACCTGTCCAACCCACAAGAACAGCTAAGTTCAAGCCGTTCGGGCAATAATTGAGAGTATGTCCGGATGAACACTGCCGCTCGACAAGAGTACAAGCGTGATGCGCCAGGTTGTTAACAAGATCTACACCGAGACGGGTGCCACGCTGAAGGTTTTGCCAAAGCACACGTGAGATCACGTTCCATCATTTTCCCAGGCAGCAGTGCAGCGACAATCCAGATCTGAAGCCCCGAACCATTACACATCCACATATTTCTTTAACCACGACTTCAATCACATCTGCATCTGTATACATCTTCGTCTTCCTCCCTCTCTTTCTCCCTCGCTCTTCTCCTCTCTTCCTCCCTCTGTCTTTCCCGCTCTCCCTCCCCCTCCCTCTGACACTCTGGCTCTCTCTCTCTCTCTCTCTCTCTCTCTCTCTGTGTCTAGATGTGCTTCTCTAGACATGTGTACCTACGAGTATGTCAATGTATACATGAATGTGTATATATATATATACACATACACACACACATACATACATACATACATACATACATATATATATATATGTGTACGTGCATACACGCATAGGCATACATACATAGGGTATATATATATAATATGTACATGTATCTATATCGCGTTTACGTATTTCTGTATGTAACGTATGTATGTATGTATGTATGTATGTATGTATGTATGTATGTACGTGTGTATGTATGCATGTATATAGGGATGTAGGGATGCAGGTATGCAGACATGTACTAATGTGTGGATGTATGTATGTATGTATGTATGTATATGTAGGCACAGCTATGCTTACATAAACACATGCACTTGTATGTAGGTACTAGGTATGTGGCTGCGTACGCATATACGTATGCATGTGTGTACAAATCTATATATGCATCCAAACGCACGTAGACACACGCACACACACATGTATATAAATATATGTATTTATTTATGTATGTATGTATGATATTATGTATGTAGACAGAGACATGTCTGTGCAGCATTCCAGCACCTTACCCTGAGATTGTCCTCTTTGCTGCCTGGCATGCCGTCGGGGGCAGAAGTCTGCACCGGCCAAGCATTTTGCTGTGTGAGAGAGCCTCTCCGTAACCGGAGAGTAGCAGAACAAAGTCCGGCATGAATCCCAGGGAAGGGAATGATGAAGGGCAGTGTTTTCTGATGTACCAGATCAATAGTACGAGGTTTTGGGCGTGCCAGCTTGGCTTTATTGTCAAGGCCGAAAGTCTGCACAGCCTGCAACGTCAGAACCTGGGCATGGTCGCATACTGAACCAAGAGCTTTTCGACCAAAGCTAAATTAAATTCAAGTCGTTTCTTCTTTGTCGTGTTGCCCAGTGGAGGTAATTCGTGTTCACAGCTGTGCTCAGCGCAGAGCTCATCGATTCCACATTGACTTCAGTGGGGACGTTTGACTGTTCAGTCCGTGTTAACCACTGATTCAGCAGCCGCGAAGCGGAGAGATGCCAAATGCCAAGATGGGAAAAGCCGAACCTGAACTGTCTGGCACCTCCTTTGTTCCCGCCCTGTAGAATCTGACGGTGACAGAGGTGTTGGACCCACGAGGCGTAGATGGCGCAGATGCCATGTGCCTGATGAATATATACGCACCATTATAGAGAAAAGCGCATCTTTTGAGAAGTTCTGGGCTGGGACAGCCGCTTAGCAGGCCTGGCCCAGCGAAACCCCTGGGATGAGGTCGGCGAGGCGAGTGGTGGCGCAGAGTTTCCTTTGCACTCGCTGAGTGTGCAGTTTTGGACAGGGAGGGTTCCTGGAGCCTAATACATGAAGGCACAAGCTTCCAGTGGCACAAGCTTCCAGTTTCAACGCTCCGAAGACGCTGGAAAGTCCGGATTTGTCAATAAACCGTGCTCTGTGCCTTTGGCGACAATCGCACCGTCAGTTGTTCCATGACGTCCAAGGTCTGAGAGTCAAGAAGACCTGCATTTGGTGAAGCGCTGTCCCCTACCTGTGCAGTGACATCCAAGATCTCCCTGTCCTGGCAGGCCGTATACCTCCAGCGCAGCTGAGCTCGACCAGCAAAGCGCACTTCCTGGTCGACAAAAAAGATTGTGCCAGAGATGCCTTTGGGGGCAGTCAGTGCGACGTTCTCTGGTTCTTTCAGTGGCACTTGTCGCTTGGAACAGTGCGGTCCACATTGGGACGGCAGTCTCGTGTTGTTTGCATGGTTGCACAGAGGTCGAGGTCATGAGGTCTCCGACAATGGCCACGGCTCGAGTTTGTGGGGCAGTGACGGTAGTGCCGGTGTCCGGGATGACAGGAGAGTACGCAAGGGTGGTTCCAGCCCCTGAGCCAGAGCGGCAGCCAGTTGACCCTCCCAAAGAGTCCGGGGTTCAAGAAGTCCCTGTTCCTATCGACGATGAGGACGAGGACGACGATGATTGTAGTTCCAAAGACATCCTCCAGTTCACCACATCGATCTATTTCGTCGAGGAGAGCGAACCGCACCTTACCATTGACGTCATGCGTCTCGGGGCCATGACGGGCACCGTTAAGGTGAGGTATAGGACGGAAGATGGGTCGGCGAAGGCTGGGAGGAGCTACAAGCACACGGAAGGAGAGTTGGTCTTCGAGCCGGGGATGTTTCGACAGTCCATTGAGATTGAAACAGTTGCCAACCCTCTGTGGTCACCGACCTTGGAGTACAAGGTCCAGCTTTACGACCCAGAGGGCTGCACACTTGGCTTGTACTTGCAGACAGCAAGGGTGAAGGTGATTGATCGAAATCCCTTTCCGACTTCGAAGTATGCTGAGCAGCTCAAGAAGGGCAAGGAGGGGGTGATGAAAATTCGTGGCATCGGACTTCTGTGGGAATACTGGAAGCTCTGCTATGGAGTCACCGGGGTGAGGTGGCGCACCTTCTTGATATTGTTCTTGGATCAGTTCCGGAATGGATATGCCGTCGTCAAGCTGGTGCTTAATATGTATATCGTTGATGTGCTGTTCAACACGGCCGACCCTTCCACTGAGGCCAAGCTTTGGCTGCCGGATCGTTTGAGCACGGCTGTGCTCTTAGGTTGCTTCTATGTGTTGCCGATGATTGCCATTCACATCGGTGCCGTGATCAAGAACCAGATCGACTTGCCTGGGCAGCTTCGCCTCTTTTTGCAAAGCTGCTTGTTCCGGAAGTACTTAAACTACAGCGAGGAAGCACGTGCCACTGTAGCACCTTCCGACATGCAGACGGCTATCACCCGAGATTCAGGCAATGCCGCGAATGCCTATGTCAAGGTGCTGGATCTCATCGCAATAGTTTTCGAACTCATTGTCTTCTCGTACTTCACGCTCGACCGGAACCCCACCGCCATCATTTTCATCCTGGCCATGCCAGCATGCATGGCACTGTATTTCGCAGTGGTCAGCAGCCTGTGCCGTGCTGGTGTTAATGACTGGAAAGCCAAGGAGGTTTTGGTCCTCCGTATCGTTGCAGAAGTCTGCGAACGTTACCGGCTCATAGCAGACTATTTTCAGCGACCGCAGATGAACGAGGCTTTTGCAGCGACTGCCGGAGCACTGCGTAAAGCCCAGAGTCGAAAGGCTCTCGCCAATCTGAATGACGACATGTTTCCGCAATGGTTGGGCCCTGGCTTTACGGGTCTCTACATTGCCATGGATGCCAACAACGTTTTGACCGGTCAGGTGACGCTTGGCACCTTCCTGGCTACCATCAGCATTCTCGGGAGCATCAGCGGCCAATTTGCAAGAGCATACAATGTCGTCCTGGATATCTATGAGCTGACGGCCCCAGTGAAGAAGCTGACCGTCTTCTTCAACAAGTCTACGGATCTGCTAACTTGGAAGGAAGTGAACCGGCAGCGACGGGACAACACGAGAAAAGCTCGTGATGCCCTCTTCAAGAAAGAGGAGGAGGAGGGCGGGGAGCCAGCACTTTACAAGACTGACCTTATCGAACTGAGGCTTGAGAACATGGCCTATTCAAACGTGGCAAAGACGCTCCTGGGTTCTTAAAATTTTGCTATAGATCTCTATTATGGTAACTTAAGTAAGTTAAGTTCCTTAGCAAGAGCCCAGGCTCTTCCACGACGTGAACTTGACCATCCCGCAAGGAAAGCTGGTAGCCGTGACCGGACCACATGGCTCCGGGAAGTCCACCTTGATGAGGCTCTTGAGCCATATCATCTTCCCGAAACGTTACTGCTCTTAGGAATTATGTTTTTTTCTCATAATATGACTCCAATGGATCATTAAGAATAGTATCGCTATTCTGGTTCTAAGGGCGGCTAAGGAACAGTGGCTGCATTTTCTTTCCGTCGCACCTTCGCATCCTGCACTTAGCACAGGAGCCACTGCTCTTGAACGCTTCTGCATGGGTCAACCTGGTCTTCGGGGTCGGAGATCGCAAGGTCGTTCCAAGGCGCATTCGGACAATCCTCGAGATGATGGGGATGACTGCGACGCTCCGTCTCATCAAGGATGACTTGGAGCGCGTAGAGCGAGAGGGCCGCCGGAAGGCGGGCGACACCTGGAGCCAGCCGGCCAACAGCGGATGGATGGAAGGGTTGACCTATACAGAAAAAGTGAAGATGTGCTTGGCTCGTGCTCTGATCATGAACCCGGAAGTCATGGTCCTCCAGCGGCCGCTCCACCACTATGATGCTGACACTGCCATCACAATGGAGAAGCTGCTGAGGAAGCATGTCGAAGAGAGGGGCTTGGTGTTGCCGGAGGAGCAGCGCATACACCGCCGACCGCGAACCGCCTTCTTCACCCTAGAGAGTGCTGAACAGGCCAAAGGCGCCGACATCATTCTGTATATCCAGGAGGATGGCACCATATTGGCCCAGAACTCGCCTTCAACGGACGAGCCTGTCACCGAGAGCACGCCAGCTGAGGACAAGCCAGCTGAGGACCAGCCGGTAGAATGACAGGCCCCGAGCCCCGAGAGACCTGGAGCTGAAGCTCTGATCAGGCCCTGCGTGAGCCAATCAACGACGGAGAAATATGCCCAGAATAGGCCGCAAGAATCCGAAGCTTTTGCCGTCCGTCCCTTACAGCCCCCCAAATTGTGTCAGACTTGTTGAAAAGTTAGTGTCCACGCAGAGGGGCTTTGCACGAGGCAGGACCGAAGCAGAACAACTGCCGAGGCGATGCCTGCGTGGCTGCAACTCCAAAGGAGGGGCAGAGGAGAGGGATATCATCAGTTTTCAGCTGCTCCTGTTTCGCGAACCTATTCATGTGTATTCTAACAATGCGCGTATGCAGTATTTTGTGTAGATACATATACGCACATACGTACGTACGTACGTACGTACGTACCTAAGTAAGTAAGTAAGTATGTATGTATGTATATGTATGTATGTATGTATGTATGTATGTTGGCGTGCTTAAGCAAGTGAGTGCTGAGCGCAAGTGCTAAACAAGTAAGAAAGTATGCATGCATAGCTGACTAGATAAGTAAGCTAAGTAAGCTAAGTAAGCATGCATGATTAGATAAAATTGTATGCAGGCGCGTGAGTATGCAAATATGTAAGCATATAAATAAATAAATAAATATATATATATTATATATATATATATATATGTAGCTTACGAGTGATGGTCCCATTCAGTGGGGCCAACGCCGGAATCGAGTGGCGAAGTCACTGTTCCAGCATGACTCACCGGCCTTCTCAGTCGAGAGTCAGCGCCGTTTTTTGCACCCCGCAGCAGCGACTGCAAAAGCCACGAGCAGCAAGCGGGCAATATGCGAAAAAGTGACTTGCATGGTGTCCGCCGAGAGTGATGTTGGGCTTTCTCTTTAAACAAGCACGTTTGAAGTTGAAAACTTCATGATCAGCGGGGCAAGTCTCGGACAGGCCGAACCGCTGCAAGGAGCTTGCTACTCTCAAACTATCGGGGCCGTTTGGTCTTGGGCTCAAGTCTGCAGCACCTTTGACATTCGTTCGTTTCTGGGATGGCTGCGGCTGTGCTTCGAAGCCGCTAGGGTGCAAGATGAGACGCTCCGCTTCCTGCATGCTATGGTTTGCCCGTGTGAGAGAGCTGTCTTCGCAGATGGCGAAGCATCATCTTGGTACAATTCATTGGGTCTAGATGCTCTTCTTGTAGCCTGTTTCAACCAAATGAATACCTGGTGGGTGTGGAGGCAGCTCTGCAAAACCCAACACCCCTTGCCCCGTCCAGGAAGACAAGCCCAGGGAAGACAAGAGGAACAGCGGAAAGCCTTGTCCCCACAGACCGTTTGACCAGGCGATGAGCCGTGGCGAAGAGGCAAAGCGAGAATTGACGGGATTCGTTGGTATACATTGGCTTTTTGTGTGGCATCATGAGAGAGAGCCCGAGAGAGACCACGCAGGAAGATGAGGACGGCGGAGGATGATCCGACGGAGGCCGAGAAATTGCTTTTTGAACCCAAGACAGGAAAGAGCTTTTGCATGACAGGAGGGTCGTACGAGCTCAACCAGAACGAAGTCCGAGGAAGCTGCAGCTGAGGTGGGCACATGCTTGTGAGAGCACAGCATGCTTTCCCCGCTGTCGTCGCCCGCGACATCGGAATCTCAACCAGTAACCCAGCATTCGAGGCAAATCGAGGCAAGTTAAAAGCATCAAACTTCGCATTGAATTGCAACAGGCTCTTTGAGGTTCCACCGCAATTTCCAGAGACTCGGACAAGACCCTGTCAGGGTGCTGAACTGCTTTTCAAGCTCATTCAAGGTACGTAGAAACGGGAGCCTTTCGAGAAATACGAGCTCTCAACGTACTTGGCGGCTTACCTGCTCTACCCACCTTCGTCAAAGCGCGACCACGGACACTTAAGAGCTGAAGAAGACATCAGGACATTCTGCGGCAGCTCAATGAGGCTGAAGCTTCCTTGGCGGCGCCCAAGGAGAGATGTTCTCATTCGGCGCGGTCTGAGCTCAGACAGAGACCCAGCAAGGCACAGTGATATAAACATGATCGTCAGTCTCTGGTGCATCCGGGCGTGTCGCCATCGGTCGAGTGTCTGCGGCCGTGGAAGGACACACTACGGGGAATGCGACGTTTTGTAGATGGCGCCTGCAGCTCATTCGGTGGAAGAAGAGCTTGAGCCTTCTTCCACAAACTGAAATGATTGCATGCATAGTTCAGAGATTGCATTCCTCCTCGAGAAGTCTTGAGAAGGGCAAACTATACTCACTATAGTCCACGAAGTGCAGCTGTCGGTCTGCCATGATCCAGGGGTGTGCTAAGCCGCTAAGCTGAGGTCTTGGATTTATGGCGCAGCGGGTCCAAGGATGAGATCTCAGCCGTCGAGCTTAAGGCAGATTGGGGGCAGTTTCAGCCTCGCTCAGACCTACCGCGAGACAGCTTGCAGGCCCTGTTGGCTGAGATCCGGGATGCATCTGACGATCCAAAATATTGGGAGGAAGTGATGCAGGCGCCTTCCGAAATTACAGCGCCAAGGGGTTTCTGTGTTGCGCCCACCCCAGCTGCATGCAGTCGCGAATAATACAGCCTTCACAGAAGTCGCCGAAAGCTACACGTGCAAGCTAGCCCGGCAGACTGAACCATTGCTTATATGCAGGACTCTAAACTCGAAGCTTCGAAGCTTATCCTTTTGGCCCTTTGCGAGGCCGTTCCCTGCGAAGCAGGGTTCGGCTTGAGCCTCTCCGAAGTGGCAGAGGCCGGGCACTTGCCTTGAGGGGTGCTGCCAGCATCCGCGGGTTCCTGGGGTAGGGGCTCCTGGGGTGTGGACAATAAATTACAAGTGGTAGTGAAGTGCGTTAAGCAGACTGTGAGTTGCTTGCCCCACACCACCCGTTGCTGTGGATCATGTGCTTGTTGGCTTGAGGCTTTCTGAGGACAGAGATGCCAACAAACTCGGAATGCAGTTGCAAGCCCAACTCGAAGGCAAGCTTTCAACTTTTAAGTCTTGACATCTTGACACAGCCTACTGCCCCAGCTTAGACCTAGCAATGCTGCGCCTAGCACTTTGGATACCGACTGCAGCTGTTGCCTTGGAGACTGGGAAGCAGTTCCCTCGCCACGAGGTGCTGGCGGAGTACGACTCAATGCTGTCGCTGATGGTTTTCCCGACAAGCGCCCAACAGGCGGCGGAATTAGACACCGCCTTCCAAACCGTGGCGGGCACAGAGGACGAGTTCCACATCCACGGTGCCAACGTGTCTTTTTGGGGTGATTTTGTGGTCCTCAACTACGCGCATTATGGCGGCAAGCTGGGTGCAGCGGATGCTGGGATCTCCTCCTCAGGCTTGGCTGCCGCCCTCATTAGCGTGACGGACAATTTCACCGTGGAAAAGGTCTGGGAAGATGCCCGAGCACGAAATTTCGCAAAGCAGACCCTGGACTTCATCCTCAAGACCTACCACAGCGAGGAGAAGGAGCAGGACGAGCTTTGACCCTCGAGCCTTCCTGCTCGAGAATTGCGAGAGGTTTCAGGGAGTTCCTGGCCGGTTCATGGCAGAGATATCAGCATCGGTTTTGCCCCCGCGGGCAGAACAAAGAATTCTGCTGACCGATGTACACTAGCTTGGGATGGGACTGCACAACCTGGCACCAGAGCGTCGGATGCAGTTCGTGAGCGACATGCTGCTAGCTCGTGAACCCTTCATACAAGTACCACTTGTACTTCTGATGCGGCAAAGTTGGGAGAACGGTGCATCGTGCCAGCACGCCAGCCACTGCATTGCGGCAAGATATGTCGCAATTGTTGCCGCCACTTGCGCCCTCAGGCTGTGTGCGTTTGGTTGTCGAGACCTGAGCAGAGATGCAGGTAGACAAGATGTGCAGTTTGCTTGAAGCTTCCGGTGGCAGTGTGAATTGTGCTTCAGCCATGCCCGCTGTGGCGGTTTTGTGGCTGTAGAATGGACACAGCGGACGTTCTGTTGGCTACTGAGGACAGACGTCGTCAGGGAAGACGACGAGGACGAGGAAGAGGAGGAAGAAGAGGAGGATCCTGAGGCTCGGCTGTTTGTTGATGCCCAGCATGATGCAGAGCCACCAGGAAGGGTTGCAGCATCATGTCAGCTCCTTCGGTGGGACGGGAGTGTGTCCTGGGACATCTATGCTCGCGACGATGAAACTGCTCGTTGGCTGTTCAGGATCAGGGTTTATGGTTCTATTGTGCCCTTGTGCTGTTTTGCTTCATTGAACTTCAGACTTAATCTGTTAAATACGAGTAGCTTACTAGGGAGGGCCAGGCCCCGAGGAAGACATCAACAAAACATCCGAACTAGCTCCCCTTCGCCTCCACTCTCATGTGTGATCTCACAGAGGTCGACAACACTCGCACGTGTGATACGTAGTCTGGGTGGTAGAGTTCCGGCTTGAAACTTCGCTGAAGAACGGTGCAGCCACTGCATTTCTGAGAGGCTGTCAGCGAGTTGGCGTCCTACCGTGGCGCTCACAACGGCTCGCACAGCCCCAGATACAGCCTGAAGACCGGCTTTGTTGCGGAATTGGTTCAGGTTCTCAGATATGCTATGATGTCAGGAGATGACTGCTTGAATCTTAACGTTTCGGTGTCTGTTCGGGGCTTGGCTTTCACCTCAAAGGACTTCCGTTCCAGGCTGCCAGTTCGGCAGCGTCCGGGATGCAGCATCATTCCGAAAGGGAAGCAGGGCTGAGGTTTCAGGGCCGCTGGCACGAGAGTGGCAGCAGGGAAACCTGTATTCGTATCTCTGCCTACGTGCTGAAGCTCATTGAAAATCAATCGAAAAGGCAAAGGTTCCAAACAAAAGCAAGGTATAACTCGCTGCTAGCGCGTGCAGGACCGAGCTGCGACAAGCAGAGAAAGCTGGATTTAACTCAGCAGTGACCTCGGCAAAGCTCGCAGTGTCCCAATCGTGCAGCAAAGATCTAGATGTGCAATTATGATAAGACATAATGCATAACTGCACAAGTATATCATACGTGTATCTGTATTATATGTACCTGTGTAAGCCTATGTGCACACATACACACATACATATATATATATGATTATACACACACTTGCGCAATTGCCCCAAAACTATTTGATAGTCTGGGTTGGGAAGTCCTTGTCGCTTCGTTGAAGGTATCTTCGGGTGCAGAGTTGATTTTTAAGGGTCGTTGAGATTCTACGACATCGCAGTGCGACCCTGGAATCAGTCTCAGGCGTCACCTCCAACGTCTCCACAGGCTCGGGTTTTCAATCATCATGTTGAGCAACAGGCCCCAGTCAGCCAGCCCATGGCATGTGTGGTATGAGGTATGCAAATGCAAAGATACGGAGTGCAGGCACCTTACTCGGGCCAAGCCTACCGCCGTCGAAGTCCGGAAACTCAGCCTCAGGGTTCCAAAGGGTTCAGGGGAAGCCCGGGCCCGGTGTCTCGAAGCTTCAGCTGGTATTTCGGGTCGCTCCCCCCAGGCCAGCACCTCTGAACAAGCGGCATGTCCACGAGTTATTCGAAAGGGTCGGCCGAAGCTCAGGGAACGAACAGGTCTCTTTTCTCGGACCCCTGTGGTTGTCATCATGCTCTCGGCCGAAGCTCAGGGAACGAACAGGTCTCTTTTCTCGGACCCCTGTGGTTGTCATCATGCTCTCTAGCTCACTAGCAGTCGTGGAATCTGCCGTGTGCGTGAACAGGCACCATGGCCATCATGGTCGTCACCGTCATCGTCATCATATTCCTCAGCATCGCACACGGCAGTCAACCAACAACAGCGAAATCGCCATCATCAGCACAATAAAACCACCAGCTGCAACAGCAGCTACCCAACGCCAACGAACTAAACAAGCGAGCAAATCATCTACGAATCACTCAGTATCAGAAGCGTCCTCGTCGCCGTCGCTGTCGGGCCCTCCAAAGGCAGCCTTGGAGATCTTCGGAGCCCGTCTGCTCTGCACAGGGACCCGGGGTGAGAGATCTGCCTAGCAGATATTCCGAGAAGCAGCGGAATTCTGGACATTCTGTTTCCAATTGCCAACTTCAGCCTAAAGCCTGCAACCCCAGAACACAGAGGCTCTTCGACCAAAACCCCCTCAATAACCAGTTTACGGAGTTTTCTTCTTGTAATATCATTATGTCCGTCAGTCTGTCTCCCTATCTTCACCTGCGAAGTTGCCTCGAGGACTCCTTGGGTGTTGGCCCCTCTTCGGAGATCCTCCGGGCCCAGGAGCTGGATTTCGAGGGGCCCATGGCTCACAAAGGCTTGAAGTTTTTCGAAACCAACATCTCAAGCAACAGGGTTGTGTGACTCCTGTTGTTGCTCAGCTGCTGCTGCATATCTTTGCCTGAGAGCCGCCATTTGAGAGGCCTGGAATGCTGTGGGTCCCGAATTACACCTCAATTCTTGCATGACACGGCCCGTGTCCACAAGTGAAGGAGCTAACGGAGTTGATGCGAAGGGCGGTCGACGCTTCCGGGGATGCGCAGCCCTCGGCTGATCTGTTCGAGTATGCGTAAGTTCTGCCTAGCAGCGATGTTGTTGCGCCGGCCTGAATGTCGTGCAAGACGTTGTGAAGGCGACAATTACAAGGGCAGAATGAACACACACAGTCAGACGTCGGGTCCGCAGTAACAGTATGCTAGAAAACAGCGTAAGTAGCAGCAGGTAGGTAGGTAGGTAGGTAGGTAGGTAGGTAGGTCGGTCGGTCGGTCGGTCGGTCGGTCGGTAGGTAGGTAGGTAGGTATGTATGTATGTATGTATGCCGATGTATGCATGTGTGTGTATGTATGTATGTATGTATGCATGCATGCATGCATGCATGCATGCATGCATGGATGCATGCATGCATGGATGTATGTATGTATGTATGTATGTATGTATGTATGTGTGTATGTGTGTATGTGTGTATGTGTGTATGTGTGTATGTGTGTATGTGTGTATGTGCGCATGTGTGTATGCGTGT